GACCTCACGAACGACGACCCTAACCCACTCCGATCTTTGACTTCACGAACCACGACCCTAAACCACTCTGAACTTTGACTTCATGAACCACGACCCTAACCCGCTCCGATCTTTGACCTCACGAACTACGACTCTAACCCGCTCTGACCTTTGACTTCACGAACCACGACCCTAAACCACTCTTATTTTTAACTTCACGAACCACGACCCTAACCCGCTCCGATCTTTGACCTCACGAACTATGACTCTAACCCGCTCTGACCTTTGACTTCACGAACAACGACTCTAAACCACTCTGACCTTTCACTTCACGAACCACGACCCTAACCCGCTCCGATCTTTGACCTCACGAACTACGACTCTAACCCGCTCTGATCTTTGACTTCACGAACTACGACTCTAAACCACTCTGACCTTTGACTTCACGAACCACGACCCTAACCTGCTCTGACCTTTGACTTCACGAACCTCGACCCTAACCCACTCTGATCTTTGACTTCATGAACAACGACCCTAACCCACTCTGACCTTTGACTTCACGAACAACGACCCTAACCCATTCTGAACTTTGACCTCATGAACCACGACCCTAGCCCGCTCTGACCTTTGACTTCACGAACCTCGACCCTAACCCACTCTGATCTTTGACTTCATGAACCACGACCCTAACCCGTTCTGAACTTTGACCTCGCGAACCACGACCCCCCGAGTGCACTCTGATCTAAACTAAAACTAAATATTTTCATTTCACCAGGTAAGGCCCACTGAGCTGGTACGTAGCTCTTTTTCATAAAGGACCTGGCCACAATTGCTCCCTCGACGAAGTGGCTTCTCGTTGTGTGGAAATCTAACGCAGACAAATACTCTAAATACACGTTTCTAAACGTGAAGGGGTAAAATCGGAGGACCCAGAGAAACATTCACACGACCACAGTGTGAGAAAACAGGAAAACTCCAAATACACAGATAAAACCCACGACTCTCTTGTATACCAGGTGAGGTAGTTAACATCTCGACACCATGCAAACTACAAATATACAGCAGGCGTCAGGGTCGGGATAAAACCCACGACCCTCCTGTACACCGGGCGAGGTAGTTAACATCTCCTAGCCACCGTGATGATGATGATGAGAGAGACACGCAAACTCCAAATATACAATAGGCGTCAGGGTCGAGATAAAACACACGACCTCCTGTATACCAGGCGAGGTAATTACCATTTCGCCACCATGTAAACTCCTAATATACAGCAGGCGTCAGGTTCGGGATCGAACCCACGACCTCCTGTCTACCAGGCTAGGTAGTTAACATCTCACCACCATGCAAGCTACAAATATACAGCAGGCGTCAGGTTCGGGATCGAACCCACGACCTCCTGTACACCAGGCGAGGTAGTTAACATCTTCTAGCCACCGTGATGATGATGATGAGAGAGACACGCAAACTCCAAATATACAACAGGCGTCAGGGTCGAGATAAACCCCACGACCCTCCTGTATACCAGGCGAGGTAGTTAACATCTCCTAGCCACCGTGATGATAATGATGAGAGAAAAACGCAAACTCCAAATAAGCAGCAGGCGTTAGGGTCGGGATCAAACCCACGACCTACTGTATACCAGGCGAGGTAGTTAACATCTCGACACCGCGACGCACCCCAATCTTTGACTTTACGAAACAAGGGCCCAGAATCCCGTCCTTCGTTGTCCGCTGCCCGTAGTTTATCCCCGACCAGGTCAGGCCTTGTCTGGAAGGGCGAGACGACGAGTCCGTTTGGGGAACTCTCGCGGCGTTCGTTCGATCAATTTCCCAGTCGTTCACGTCTCCGCATCGTCGCTTTGTCAAATCTTGGACCACATTTTTGTTCCGCTTAAAATGCTCATGACAATATTGTGTAGCCGGGGTTAAGCCAATCGACGTACTGCACACATTCAATTTAAATGTATTACAAATCTCGGCTAAATGTAACCATTTCGATTTAAAGCTTCTTTCGTGACTGCAGGGATTCATCTTCTTGGTTCTTTCGGTAAAGTCACGTAGAATGGAAATAATAAAATAATAAAAATAAAACATAATAAAATAATTCTTATTATTATATTATTTCCATTCTACGTGACTTTACCGAAAGAACCAAGAAGATGAATGTAACCAATTTGTATTTTTTTTACCAGATCCTTCCTCCCTAAACCATAGGGAACAGCCCACGGAAGCAAATACCGTAGAACTACTGCTGAGATCCCTACTTCTCCATGTGACCACACACACACAGTAGAGGGCAGCACTTCCCACTCACTCTGCCATATGAGAATAATGTTTGTCGCAAGACTATTAAACCGATATTTCAAATCTCGGATTTTGTTCGTCACCTCTGTACACTTGAGAACCCGCTTCAATCCCAAGTCAGTATATGTGAGTCTATGCGTTTCTCTGTGAGTATATGGGTCTTATCTTCTTGGTTCTTTCGGTAAAGTCACGTAGAAGGGAAGTAATAAAATAATAAAAATAAAACATAATAAAATAAAATAATATTTTATTATATAATATATTATTATAATTATATATAATTATAATTAATTATATAAATAATACCTGATTATTTAATTGCTTATTTATGTTGCTCTATTGTTTATGTATTTTTTATTATTTTATTATTATTTTATTTTATTATGTTTTATTTTTATTATTTTATTACTTCCCTTCTACGTGACTTTACCGAAAGAACCAAGAAGATGAATCCCTGCAGTCACGAAAGCTTTAAATCGAAATATATGGGTCTCTGTATGAATATATGGTCATCTACATGAGTCACTGGTAACTGGGTTGAAACCATAAACTCACTACAATTGAGAACCCGGTTTAATCACGACTGAATCTATCAGAGTCTATGGATGTCTCACAAGAGTGCATGGGTCCCTGTGAGTATATGGTTCTTCATGTGAGTTTATTGGTCTGTGTGTATGTGTGTATATGGTCTCTGTTTGTGGGGAGCGGTGGTGTAGCGGTTAGCGCGCTGCACTACGAACTTGGCGACCCGGGTTCGATTCCCGCTCACGGCAAACACCAGTGACGATTATCTGAACCGGTTCTGGGCCTCCCCTAGGTCGACTCAGCCTCAAATGAGTACCTGGTGCGGTGTGTAAACATCGCCGCTAGGGAGACAAAGGCGGTCGGGCGTGGTGCTGGCCACCCACCCCCTCGTGTACCGTTCCGGCCTTCATAGGTGCTCGTTAACAGCACTTGCCCCTACGGTCTTTTAAGGCTATACGGGGGATCTTTATCTTTATATGGTCTCTGTGTGAGTATCTTGGTCTCTAAGTAATCATATTAGCCTCTATGTGAGTATATTGGTTTTTGTGTGTCTATGTGATTCTATTGGCTTCTATGTGAGTCTATTGGTCTCTGTGTGGGTCTATTGGTCTCTGCTTGTATTTGTGTGTGTCTATGGGTCTCTATGTCAGTCTAGTCTATTGGTCTCTACGTAAGTCTATGGGTCTCTGCGTGAGTCTATTGGCCTCTATGTGAATCTATTGGCCTCAATGTGAATCTATTGGTCGCTGTGTGTGTATATGGGTCTCTATGTGACTCTATTTGTCTCTCTATGAGTCTATGGGTGTCTGCGTGAATCTACCTTTATGTGAGTCAATTGACCTCTTTGTGAGTCTATTGGCCTCTATGTGAGTCTATTGGACTTCATGTGAGTCACTGATGACCAGGCTGGGACCATCAATTCACCGAACGTGAGAACCCAGTTTGAATCGCTGTGCTTGGGCAGCTCCAACTTAATGGACATCTGTGAAAAAATAGCTAAGTATAGCTCATAGGATTCCTCCATTACAACTAAATATTCAGATTCTGAACCTGAACTTGGATTCGAACCCCTAAACGCCATTCTCTCAGGGGTGCTGTTGCGGGTGCTCTTGCCCTGTGAGCCGTCCGGGCCTCCTCTAGCAGTCGGGCCCAGCTAATGTGATGTATAACTGCAACGGCGGAGAGAGTGCAAACGGTGTCCGTTGATTAGACGTGTAACCACGTATTGATTTACCGATTAAAATTGATTCCTGCGTTCATGATGCGAGCGTACGAATTGTGCCACGTTACAAGAACCACGCGCGCACACACAGAGTGCGCGCGCGCGTGTGTTTTATTATCCATAGTAATTCAATACGTGCGGCGCCGTTTGTCGATCCGCTGCTGGATGAAAGCCACAGAAAGGGCATCCACTTCCGGTCATGCGGGCGGGAGGGACGGGGGGGGGTGTTTGGCCATACATCGCCGCACTGGGCAGTGCAGGTTGGTGAATGGGGTGGGTCAGTGGGTGGGTCGGTGGGTGGATGGGTGGATGGGTGGGTGGTTGGATCGGCTGGTGGATCGGTGCATCAGTGGGTGGGTAGGTGGATGGGTGGGTGGTTGGGTCGGTGGGTGGGTGGATTGGTGGGTGGATCGGTGGATGGGTGGGTGGGTCGGTGAGTCTGTGGGTGGGTGGGTCGCTGGGTGGGTGGATCTGTGGATTGGTGGGTGGATGGGTGGAACGGTGGGTGGGTGGATCAGTGAGTGGGTGGGTCGGTGGGCGGTGCAGATCTCACTCGCCACTCGATGATAGACGCCGTGACCAGGAATCGAACTCAAGGTGCATTGCTGGGCTCAAAGCACACAGACAGCCACGCGATATCCCCAGATTTGGCGGAGGGTTTTTCGAAGTGGTCACCTCTAACCCCCACGCCTCGTATGCTTTGCTCACAGGCCACGTGCCGAGTCACCATGTGCCGTACAGGAGACAGCTGCCACTGGGGGTGCCCCAGGCTAGACCACACAGCAGCGATTATCGCCCCCTTACTGGCAGACTAACGACGCCACTATTCTTTCATTACATTTTGGCGTGGATAGACAGAACGCTCACCCCGCGCGCTCACCTCCTAATCCCCCCCCCCTCACCCACCACTCCATATCTACCCCCTCCCCCCACCCCTCTCTCTCTCTCTGGGTTATTGACCGCCCTAACGAGCTCGTGACGTCGCTGCCGTTGCAGATCATTGCCTTCGACGAGCTCAAGAAAGATCTGCGCGCGTCCACGGATCCGGAGAGCAACCCCAATCAGGTGAGAGGGCCAAAGTTCGTGGCGCCTTCCACACGCGCCCGCGGGCGTCATTGCTTCTGAGTTGGGCCGCCTTCTCGCGTCGGTGGCGACGAGAGCGTTCGTGCGGTGATCCACCAACACCTCGCTGCTGCCTCCTGATCGCTTCAGGCCACATGCGGCTGCATAGCCACCGCTGGCGGTCTGAGCCCGGTCACCGTACGGCACGCAACGACAAAAAAAACCATGCGCCCATCATACTATCTTCTTGGTTCTTTCGGTAAAGTCACGTAGAAGGGAAGTAATAAAATAATAAAAAGAAAAAAAAGAAAATAATTATTTTATTATGTTTTATTTTTATAATAAAAATTAACATAGAAGGGAAGTAATAAAATAACAAAAATAAAACATAATAAAATATTTATTTTATTTTTTTATTTTCATAATAAAAATAATAAAATAATTATTTTATTATTTTATTACTTCCCTTCTACGTGACTTTACCGAAAGAACCAAGAAGATGAATCCCTGCAGTCACGAAAGCTTTAAATCGAAACCCATCATACTAAATTTGGCGATAATTCCAGCTGTGAAAATTCGAACTACGGAACGTTGCACGTTGCGAGACGGTTGATAAGAGGGCGCAATGGTGGCAGCTTAGGGGATAGTGCCTCATCCAGCAGTGGAGAGACCACGGCCGATGATGACGATTAGGACTGTTGCTAAAATTGGGAGACAAATTGTGTCCTTCATTTCCACCCCGTTCCATGCGCTGTGCCTCTTCTCTCTGTAATCTCGCGGGGGTGGTGAGTGGGGTGGGGGTGGAGGGTGGGGGGTGAACGAGCCATCCGTCGACGCTGTCTCCCTTACCCTTTAGCTTCGTCCCCGTAGATTTAAGTCCACGCCGGGAGATTATCGGCAGCAGCGGCGGCGCTGGTGCAGATCGCGCGCACTCATTCCGGCGGAGAGATAAGTTTCAAATTTTTCCGCCACGCCAAGTTGCCCCCGGTACCAAGGGCAATGAAGGGGGAGGTGGTGGTGGTGGGGGGGTTGTAAAATTCAACACGGCTCGCTGCGCTGAAGGCTAAGACGGCGTCCCTGCAATTGCCAGCTCACCCCCCCCCCCCCCCCATTCGCGTAACCGCTGGTTGGGGGAATAACGTGCTTTCTGGGCTCCCAGTTCACCGTTTTTCCCTGCAGGGTTCGTGTATGGGAACAAAACCGCTCTACCTCACTCGCCTGCTCACCCGTGTCCGGCAGGCGAGGCAATGTGTGGGAGGCCGCTTGCCTTCGTTATCCGCGTGCATCACCACCCCCCTACCCCCACCACTCCCCCCTCCCGCCCTGTGCCAACCTAGCCAACGAGTTCCTTTTCGCTGCCAGCCTGAAGCCACTCTCTCTCTCCTCTCTCCTATCGCTCTCCCTCCTCGTCTCGCTGTCTCCTCTCTCTTCTCTCCCCAAGTACCACGCTCTCGCCAAATCCACGCGCGCACGGTGGGATTAATCCTCTTATTCAGACCTACTCTTAGTTTTTTCAGTAAAGTCACGTAGGTAAAAAAAATTTAATTAAAATTAATAAAAAATAAAATAATAATAAATAATAAAGGTTTTTTTTTTTTTTACGTGACTTTACCGAAAAAACTAAGAGTATGAATCCTTGCAGTCACGAAAACTTCAAATCTAGAATTATTCAGACCTCTTCGCCGGACCTCTTAGCCATTCGCGGCCGTCTGGAATCATCTCGCATGCCTGGCCCACAGACACTGCGTGCCGTTTTGGATGATGGGAAGGGAGGGGGGTGGCTCAGAGACCACCCGCACGTAAATAATAGATGTGTCGTTCAACCCACCACCACCCGACACAACCAATTAGATAAGGTTTGTCACGTAAGCAACAATTCGTTACTAGTTCAACAAACGCTGGTTGTGTGTTGGAGAGTAAATCCCACCCACAATATTTACAATTCTAGTACAGACACTCCTCTGCTTACGAACGAGTTAGGTTCCAGAGGCATGTTCCGAAGTCAATTTGTTCGTAAGTCCAACTTTACTCCTGTCGATTGCAAACATGCTGTACGGTATGTACACTAAACACGGGGAATGGCTTTAAATGTTCTATAATCTCCTGTAGATGTTGATGCCACTGGTTATTCACGTTCTGTAGATGTAGATGCCACTGGTTCTTCATGTTCTGCAGATGTAGATGCCACTGGTTCTTCATCTTCTGCAAATGTAGATGCCACTGGTTCTTCATGTTCTGCAGATATAGATAGCACTGCCTCTTCACATTTTCAGATAGAGATGCCACTGATTTTTCACGTTCTGCAGATGTAGATGCCACTGGTTCTTCACGTGCTGCAGATGTAGATACCACTGATTCTTCACATTTTGCAGATGTAGATGCCACTGGTTCTTCACGTTCTGTAGATGTAGATGTCACTGATTTTTCACATTTTGCAGATGTAGATGCCACTGGTTCTTCATGTTCTACAGATGTAGATGCCACTGCTTCTTCACGTTTTGCAGATGTAGATGCTACTGGTTCTTCATGTTCTACAGATGTAGATGCCAATGCTTCTTCACGTTTTGTAGATGTAGATGCTACTGGTTCTTCAGGTTCTGCAGATGTAGATGCCAATGCTTCTTCACGTTCTGTAGATGTAGATGCTACTGGTTCTTCACGTTCTGCAGATGTAGATGCCAATGCTTCTTCACGTTCTGTAGATGTAGATGCTACTGGTTCTTCACGTTCTGCAGATGTAGATGCCAATGCTTCTTCTCGTTCTGTAGATGTAGATGCTACTGGTTCTTCACGTTCTGCAGATGTAGATGCCAATGCTTCTTCACGTTCTGTAGATGTAGATGCCACTGGTTCTTCACGTTCTTTAGATGTAGATGCTACTGGTTCTTCACGTTCTGCAGATGTAGATGCCAATGCTTCTTCACGTTCTGTAGATGTAGATGCTACTGGTTCTTCACGTTCTGCAGATGTAGATGCCACTGGTTCTTCGCGTTCTGCAGATGTAGATGCCACTGGTTCTTCACGTTCTGCAGATGTAGATGCCACTGGTTCTTCACGTTCTGCAGATGTAGATGCCACTGGTTCTTCACGTTCTGCAGATGTAGATGCCACTGGTTCTTCACGTTCTGCAGATGTAGATGCCACCACTGCCATCTATTGCACGGCGGTTGGACTTACGACTCTCAATCCGAACGGGCAACTGGACATACGGACAGATTTTGTTCGTATCTCTGAAAGATCGTGAGTCGAATGTTCGTGAGTAGAGGAGTCCCTGTACTGCGCGACCTTTTGCCGGTAATTACAACAGCCAGCCTCATCAGGCGACATCCAGAGTTCTTTCAGTAAAGTCACGTAGAATGGAAATAATAAAATAATAAAAATAAAACATAATAAAATAATTCTCACGACGTTTCGGCCACAACGCAAGCAGCCGTCCTCAGGTGAAGAACAGGTCTGAAAAAAAAAGCAATTATCATATTTTTTACTGGCAAATGAGGTTCCAATGGTGTAAATGCTTACCCCGAGCTCTCATACTCTGATGGTGCATTGTCTTTGAGTTGTGCGCCTTTTGGCGTCATCTGATCCAACCCATGTGAGACTAGGCTCTAAGGAAAGCTGTCTCGGGTGTGGACCAATCAACTTCAAGGACAGTGCACATTATCAGAGTTTTGATTTTTATTTGCATTATGACTGCAGGTATTGTGGTCTATGTACACATGACTCCTTGTAAAAAAGGTGTCAGTTTTGTTGCCAGATAGAAGGGTAAAAAAACAATTTTGACATCCAGAGTTGTTTTGGTTGTTTGTTTTGTGTGCGTGAAGATTCACATGATGCTCGGGGCGATCAGAGACGTTAGGCTATCGCAAAGGGATCCGCCGACTCTCTGAGTTGGCCCATTGGCAAACAAATCTGTGCCTCTCCTCGATCAACTCAGCCTTAAATGGGTATCCTGCCTGGTGGCCGTGTGTGTATGGAGGGGGGGGGGGTAGCGCGTTACGCTACGAACCCGATGACCCGAGTTCGATTCCCGCTCACGGCCAACATCAGTGGCGATCATCTGGCTACCTGTCCTTAGCTTCCCCTAGGTCACCTCAGCCTTAATTGAGTTACCTGCTTTCCAGTATGTTAGCAGCGGCCCTTGTAGAGACAAAGGCGGCCGTAGCGTGGTTCCTGGCCTTAATAGGTGTACCGTGTTGACCTTGATGGGTGCTCTCGAAAAGCACCTGCCCTGACAGTCTGCTAAGGCTATGCCGGTGGATTGTGTGTGTGTATGTTGAACGGACGTGTGTGTGTTTTCACATTTGTACCGATTCGATAATAACGGCTGTTGGAGGGGGCCCTTAATGAGATTGCGCGTCAGTCTGAAGCTCTAATTGGGGCCAGAATTGAGTTAATGACTTGGGGAAGATGGTTTTTTTTTTACACTCATTAATAATGCATCTCATTGATCTTAACGGAACCCCCACCTCCCCCACACACCCCCACCCCCACCACCGCTGCATCTGGCAACATGTGAGCTCAACAAAGGCTCCTGATGTGATAAACACGGAGAGTGATGTGGGAACAAAGCGCGTGTCGAGTCGTAATAACCCACACTCTGGCCTTTACACGAAGCACACAGATCCAAGCGGAAACAAAGGTTCCCCCAAAACAGGCATGTCCAAAGTCCGGCCCGCGGGCCAATCGCGGCCCGCGGGCAGATTTTATACCGCCCGCAGCTTCGGTCTTATAATGTGTTAGTTATGGCTCGCCAGCTCTGTAAGAATAAATACATCATAAAACTCATGGAAATTTAAGGTATTCTATACAGTTTGTTCAATGTTATCTGACTGAATGAAAGGCAGAATTGCGTTTTTAGAGTTGTTCACGTCTGCCTGAGTGGCTTCTATTTTGTTACATTGTCATTTGAAAAATAAAGGTAATTGTGACAATGAAATCGTTTTATAACAGCGTGTATTTCCACGTAACTTTTGTGGTTAAAAAAATGTCAAAAGGAACTATTG